TATGGTCAAAATTAATGAAAAACATTATCTCTCACCACGCGACAGAGCACAACAAGAACGCGAAAACTTCCATATCATGCACAAATTGTTTTGTTCTCCATGAAGTAGAAAGACAGAAAGTATAATATTACACGGCCTTTTTCTCTTGTCCGCTCTAAGCAATGCGTTGAATTGAAATGAGCAAGCTTTGATACGGTACAGCGCGCTAGGTACGTGTACACGTACAAAGTAGCGCTAGCTCAAGATAGCCAGCGTTTAATTTGCATATAAACGATGATTGGCCAAACCCAACAGATGAATCGTCATATCTTTTATGTCTACTTGACGTGACATCAGGGGAAGACCCTATGGACCGGTTTGAACCAGAACTCCTTTTTAGTTTTATCCTTGTAGTTTTTGTTCTTGTAGTAGTTCAGGCTGGTGTTCTTGTTGTTATAAGGCAGGATCCGAATTTATCATTTCAAATAGGCAGTGAAAAAAGGGGACAGAGCCCAAGACAGATCTAAAAATGAAAACTAAAAATTAGATTTAATACTGGTCATACACTATACAAGGATTGTACTAAATAACCATAAGTGGATAATGAATTACAAAATACAAAAACAAATGGTTACAAGTTGTCACACAAATATTCATGTACCATGTGAATGAAGTTTTGTAATAAAGATAATAGAATAATAGAAAATTCAATCGAAATTCTGAAGCACAGGCAAGTCAGGTAAGATTATTTTGAATGGGTATGTCGGACCTAATGTGCCGACAAGTGTAAATTTGATCGGTAGATTTTCAAATTTACTGATAAAAGTTTTCCAACAAGCAAATTAAAAATTAAACAAGTAAATAAACAAAGTAAACAAATTCAAGATTTGCCGACAACGGTCTACAAATTATGAAAGGTTGAAGGTTTTCATATCCAACACCCCTGAAAAAGATGTAAAATACTCAATCATGAGTTTGTGATTAAGAAGATGTATGGTAAACATTAAGGCCATGGCGCTTTTCTACAACTCATCAACATTTACCCATATCAAAGCCTTAATATCTAGAATCTATATGAATTATATGACACTGAGAACTATCTCTTCCCTTTATTTTCTTAATTTGTGTTATTATCGTGTGTGTGTATGTAATTCGGTTTTACAGATGTGTATCAATCAGATATGACTATTTACATCTGGGGACCGACCTTTAACGTCACCTTCCGAAAGACGTGACTCAGCTTTGAAGTAAGTTTTTAGCTATAGTTTGTAGAGTTTATTGCCGTTTGGTCTACAACTGGTTTATCTACTACCCAATTTGTCTATCTCCATTTGGTCTACACCCAGCCCGTCTACTACCCAATTGGTCTATCTCCATTTGGTCTACACCCAGCCCGTCTACAACCCTATCGGTCTATCTCCATTTGGTCTACACCCAGTCCGTCTACTACCGAATTGGTCTATCTCCATTTGGTCTACACCCAGCCCGTCTACCCAATTGGTCTATCTCCATTTGGTCTACACCCAGCCCGTCTACTACCCAATTGGTCTATCTCCATATGGTCTACACCCAGCCCGTCTTCTACCCAATTGGTCTATCTCCATTTGGTCTACACCCAGCCCGTCTACAACCCAATCGGTCTATCTCCATTTGGTCTACACCCAGTCCGTCTACTACCGAATTGGTCTATCTCCATTTGGTCTACATCCAGCCCGTCTACTACCCAATTTGTCTATCTCCATTTGGTCTACACCCAGCCCGTCTACTACCCAATTGGTCTATCTCCATTTGGTCTACACCCAGTCCGTCTACTACCCAATTGGTCTATCTCCATATGGACCGTACACCCAGCCCGTCTTCTACCCAATTGGTCTATCTCCATTTGGTCTACACCCAGCCCGTCTACTATCCATATGGTCTAATAATCATTCAATCATGAATAATAATAATCATCGCCAAATGATTATTACTATTTATGGATAGAAGCCAAAATGGGTGTTAGACAAACTTGGAATTAGACGTACTGAAAAAAGACTAAATGAGCAATAGAACAAAATAATGGTTAAAGAGAAGGTTGAGTTCTGGGAAAAGGTGAACAAAAATTTGTGAGCGTTATCATTCTTATTATGCAAGTGTGGAAGAACAACAGATAAGACATGTTCCCTCAAAAGCATGGCTCTTCAAATGCCTTCATATTCTAAATATGTCATATAACATCGTAAAACTCCAGGGTAGGATTTTTACGCCACGTGTTCATGTAGTCCCATATATATCTTTTTGTGTGCAGTGTTTGTAACTTTAACAAGACTTGGCCAAATTTCTTATCATTTTGATGATTCCAGAACCTTGCAATACACACAAATTCTTACATGCTAGATGATCAACCTTTTCTGGTCGATTCCACACCGTTTCTTTCAAAATGCAATCGCATGACCAGAACTCAACTTCATCTTTAAGTAGACTTATTGGAAATAAGACCAAATGGAAATTAGACCAAATAGCTTTTTATTCTAAATGGTCATTAGACCAAATGATACGTAGACGAAATGGTTATTAAACCATGTGGATAGTAGAACGACTGTGTGTAGATTAATTGGAATAGACTAATCGGGTTATTCGGGTAGTACAAGAAATAATTTTTTTAAATTTTGTACTACAATTTTTTTTCTCCCTGACAAACTACTTCACTGTAAACCTTTTAAACTATCCCAAGGGTTTTCACTATCACCATGATAAACAAATATACATAGTAAAGCAGTCCCGGGTATATATAGGCCCGGTCACACATAGACGACGCAAGGCCAGCGCATTGAAAATCGGAAAAGGATTTGGGAGAAGCTAGCGATCTGACACCGAATGTGTAGCGTGTTGCTATCGCGCTGCGCGTATAAAGGACATGTGCTCGGCGTATGTCCGGCGTTGGTCTAGCGCGCTCCGCGCATGTCTGGCGTCCTTTTGGCGTTTACATTCATGCGTCGAGCTCCGCGCACATTTTTGAACATGCTCAAAAAATCCCGACGCACACGGCAAATGACGACGAATGTACAGCGTTGATCCAGCGTTAGTACAGCGTACTCGACGAACGAGTAACGAAAAATGACGAACACCTAACGCACGACAACGCACTGGCAACAATTGGAAATTTGCAATGCGCGGGCCGTGCGTCCCCCACGCGTCCCCGATGTGTGATCGCCCAGGTCAGAATTCCAGTTGAAACCAGTACATTCAACTGTTTTTTAATATGGAAATTGAAACAACGCATTTTCAGTAGATTCACCAGTTGATTTACCAGTTGAAAATCAGTTGATTGATTATCCAGTAATCAATCAACTGATAATCAATAATCTTTATTAGCATCTGGCCACCAACTTGACCATATAGATTACAGATGTGTATTATGTAAAGTAGACATTTGTAGCATTAATTTTGTGCATACATAATTATATAAAAATGCAGTCAGCCCGCTGCACGCTCGCTAATGAGCATATCGTGCGAGCGTTATCGTGCGATGGAAACAGCTCGATGAATAATATCCACAAACGAGAAGTTACGAGATCGTGCGAGAATACTGGAAGGGATGACGTAGACTCTATTTTCTCGCGCATGCTCAGTTTTTGAGCAGCCATGTTTGGGTAAGTCGATCTCCAGAAAATTTCCTTTCGAATGATATGAAATGTTGATATATTTCCGCAAAATTTACGGTTTTACAGCATCATGCAATGAAGCCTAATTTTGAGAAGTTTTCGTTCCTAGTTTTGTAACTAAAATTTGTTTTCGTGAACCTGACCCGTTCGAAACTAGAAAAAGATCATTTGATGTCGATATTATGTGTTCAGCAATGTCTGAAATTGCCAAATCTGTTGTCCAATTTGAGGTTCCTCAACAGGAAATTAGTTAATTCTGCTTCCCAAATTCACGAGAAAATCATGTTTTCACCGGAAATACGTACTCGAAGTTGGGTGAACTGGCGCGAAATGGTCTAAAAATAGTAAAACGCGCGAATGGGCGTAGTGCATACTGATTGTATAGTGTTGTCCCACATATAGATTTTCATGGAGTCTTCAGTGCAATTGTTGGCTCAAAGACCGAAACTATTTCATTTTCTGTTGAATTCCAGTTTCCTCATGTGTTCAGGCATCAAATGGGACTGGGATTATTAGTAATAACGTTTTTAGATTGAATTCCAAATAGGATTTGATCTAGACTTCTATTAAAAGTCAAGATGAGTCAATGCTATTGCGTATTGACCAGTAGCACTGCACTGCATAGGCAGGATTGGAATAGATCTACATGAATAGTCGATACACTCGTAACACACAGAGATGCACACAATCATGCCGATGCGGCTGATCGAAAGTTTGACAGTGGACTCACAATTTGAATTTTTTAATAATTCTTTCTAACATCGGAAAGTTGAAAAAATTGTATTTTAATGCTATGTAGGTGTCATCAATCGTCACGAAAGTACCGATTTTGAGTGAAATCAGTTGAGTGTTGTACAGTGGTGTTTGAAATGTTGAGAATCAATAGCACAGCTTTTAATATACAGCCAGGATAGTAATGCACATATATGTGTGGTCTAGACTCTAGTCAGTCTAGACTTACTTGGCTGCATTAGCCATTATGACCTTGGCTGTGTATTAAAAGCTGTTCTTTTGAATCTCAACATTTCAAACACCACTGTACAAAACTCAACTGATTTCACTTAAAATCGGTACTTTAGTGACAATTGATGACACCTAAATAGCAATAAAAAAAAAAGAAATTCAACTCACCGATGTTAGAAAAATAATTAAAAAATTCAAATCGCATGTCTACCGTCAAACTTGCCGGTCAGCCACATCGTATTCATTGTGTGCATTTGTGTATATTGACTTTTACACAGACACATATTTCCCTAAATAAAAGTTAATGATAATCTGATTTGTGAAATGGGATTCCATGTTTTGCCCAGGGGTAGAGAACTAGTTCTTGCTAGCTTTTTTATTTGTTGAGGAAATTGTTTTGTTTTTGTTTTTTTGGTTCCAGGCGCTTAGATGTACACAGGCCCTCATAGAAGTTGTGACCCCTAGCCCTCCTCTTCCAATTGACCCCCCCCCCCCCTGATCTTGACCTCAAGGATGCATCCTAGAAACAAGGTAAGTTGTGGTTTAATTTATTCTATTCACATGGGAATTTGTTTCCCTAAATAGCAGTCAGTGAAACTATAAAAAAAATACACTTACATGTATGTTCTCCCATAGAATACAGTAGTGATTTCTTACACGATAAGGAAATCTTGATGCATAACTGTTTAATGTCATGTAGATTGCTTTGTATATTAAAACAACCTGCGTTGTTCATTCACTGTCTAATGTTGATAATTTTGTTCCAGGTGCGGAGCTGTACACAGTCCTTCCTACAACTTGTAGAAGATCTCCCATAGGCTTCACAACCAGTCATGTGACCCCTAGCCCTCTTCCAACTGATTGCCCCCTTGATCTTGACCTCAAGATGCCACCTGGAAACAAAGTAAGTTGTGATTTCATTTATTGCATTTACATGGAAATTTGTATCCCTAAAGAGCAGTCAGTGAAATTTCTGATTGGTGAAAAAAGTTCATTTATGTTCTCCCATAGGATAATATAGTAATTGCTCTCATTTCCTCTTCTAATACATGATTAGGAAATCTTGATGCATAACTGTTTAATGTCATGTAGATTGCTTTGTATATTAAAACAACCTGCGTTGTTCATTCACTGTCTAATGTTGATAATTTTGTTCCAGGTGCGGAGCTGTACACAGTCCTTCCTACAACTTGTAGAAGATCTCCCATAGGCTTCACAACCAGTCATGTGACCCCTAGCCCTCTTCCAACTGATTGCCCCCTTGATCTTGACCTCAAGATGCCACCTGGAAACAAAGTAAGTTGTGATTTCATTTATTGCATTTACATGGAAATTTGTATCCCTAAAGAGCAGTCAGTGAAATTTCTGATTGGTGAAAAAAGTTCATTTATGTTCTCCCATAGGATAATATAGTAATTGCTCTCATTTCCTCTTCTAATACATGATTAGGAAATCTTGATGCATAACTGTTTAATGTCATGTAGATTGCTTTGTATATTAAAACAACCTGCGTTGTTCATTCACTGTCTAATGTTGATAATTTTGTTCCAGGTGCGGAGCTGTACACAGTCCTTCCTACAACTTGTAGAAGATCTCCCATAGGCTTCACAACCAGTCATGTGACCCCTAGCCCTCTTCCAACTGATTGCCCCCTTGATCTTGACCTCAAGATGCCACCTGGAAACAAAGTAAGTTGTGATTTCATTTATTTTATGTACATGGAAATTATAAAGTGCTTTCTCAAAGTAAATTCAAATTAAACTCATTTTGAATCACATTTTATTGTTTATTCTCGGAAAAAAACAAGATCCTGTTCATTAAAGTTACCATTTATTCAGTAATTATCTCCTCAATGAATGCTAACCACCATGGTAACATTATGGACTTCACGATAGCATGTTGTTTTGTGAATGTTGACATGACATGGGCGGAGCGAGGGACTGCACAACGGCTCAGCTGTCGACTTCCCTAGAGGGCAACATGGATTTCCCCAAATGGTGTCGTTCTCGAGGGTAGTAGATGGCTGAGCTGTTTTCATGCATCGCAGCATCTCACTCCACCTGAGTGACATTATTAAATAGAAATCTTCTTTCTCAGAACGAATAAGTGAATTCATAAAATAAAAATCTTCATTTTGTTTTCATTACTGGTATATAAACAGTGTTCCTTGGTTGTAATCTAACCAAAGCATTGTGAAAATACAGGAAAATTATTTTTATTTGAACTAATATTATTAATCTTGCTCCTTAACTTATGAATGTCAACCGTTTGTCAAGTAAACTTTTGAAGTTGCAAGATGATCAATTAACGTTTTAATGATATATTAAGTCAGTTTTTCTTTGACTCTTATCTTATTTTCAGATTAAGCATTGTGATTTTATCACCATGAGGGATGAAGTAGAAAATTCAGCCTGTACATCACATCAATCGTTCTTGCTGCTGGGGTGAAGGATAAGTTGGCTCCTTGGCCCCATTTATGTACTATGAAATATAATGCCCTTGTAGCTATCATTACGGAACGTAATACCGATATCTAAATGACAGACTGTATTTGTAGTGGTTGCAGAAAAAAATATGTTAGAAAATTGAAAAAACCCAAAAGACACGTAAAAAAGAAAGAATTATTTTATTTCTGGTCCATTATGACCGTTGTGTTGATAAATTATTAAGAGATTGTGAATGCGAATTAGAATAATTCAATGCTGCATTTTCTGAAGAATGCACTTCAATTCCACCTACTATACCTTTATGCATGAAACATAGATTTGAATTGGCACATTTTGAGCAATCTAGAAGTTATCGTTCCTGTTCTGTTTGTGAAGCATTACTGACTTCTGATGACAAAACATATACCTGTAAAGATATTCCTGAAAGTGAATTGAAAAGATTGGGTGATATAAATGAAGACTTTTCAGGAACACAAGGTCACCATATATGTAGACCATGCTACATGTATTGTATAAAGAAAAGTCGTGCTAATAAAATGTCACTTAGAAGTATGGAAAATTCGCATCAGAGCTGTGTGCTTGCATCAGATTCGGACGAAGACTTTTTACTCAAAATTCTAAATGTTAATTTGTATATATGTAGACTGTGTCTTGAGGATGGTTATTTTTATTCATAACTGTTTATGAATATTTTTCTGATCTTGTCTCAAAAAGATGTTGTGATGTGCTACAGAATGACCGTGTAAATGAAAGTCCATTATTTGTAAAGGATAAGATTATATACCAGTTCAGTGAGCTTTTGATTGTACATAGAGATGCTGGTAGGAGGGGAATATCTTTTTACAGTGCAGAGATGTCTCATGATTATGTTATACGTTCATGGCATATTTCAGTTTCTAAATTGAGATCATTACAAATTGACAAGAATAGTGCCCAAGATGTGCCCGATAGACCATCCTTTTCCTCACAGTTTAGTTCACCTTCAGAGGTGAACATGCAGTTCCGAAATGTTGTCAATAACGGAAATGAATTTCTCTGTAAACAGGCGAAACACTTTAGTTGGAATATTTAACTTATCCTTTATCTGTCACTGATTTTAGCTTTGACAATTTATGTTGCTTCTACCGGTAGTGATCATGTTCACCTTGCAGCCTGTGTTCTTTCAGCATTTCTTTCTTTTGCTAAATATAGAAAACCACTTACCAGTATGTATTCATCACATGTATGAATGCAAACCAGTGTTATGCACAATACTCTTTATCTGATTTAATGCTCCATTTTGTTTGTATTACATAGTATATTCTTTTTTGTTATAATAGTTTATGTTGCACACTTACCGTATTCCTTGTACAGTCTTCTAATATATATTATGGCAGAATGTAGCATGTACATACATGAGCAACTTAAGTTATTCGTGTTATAACATTTTTCATTGTAACTTAGGATTTTTGTATTTTCCATGCTTTAGTGCCTTAAACTAGCCAGTACTGTGTGTGTGTCCCAGCTGGACTAGCTTATGAATAATAATATCTGCCAAAACATGTATTTTTTTAACCTTGCCAAGTTGTCTCTTGTATATTCAAAGAGAAATAAAAAAATGAAAACAATTGTTCAAAAGAAACATCCCGTTTGTGTATATGCTTGAACTGTATGACTGATCAGAGGACTGTGTTTCTTTATTGAAGGCGTTACTTTGTTAACGGGAATGTCAACCTCAATCCTTTGCAGGACCAAATTCATGAGTGACTTCAGTTCGCCTTGTAAACAGAATGACTTGAATATTGCTTTGCCCTCCGAATTTCAAAGGTTTGAAGGGAAAATTGCCCCCGTGTATTTTTAACTTATTTATTTGTGTGTAGTGTCAATCACTGCATTGGACACCGACATGTTCACATATCATTTCTTGGGAAGAAAAAAACAACAATTAAGCAGAGAGATATTGGACTTTACATTCCTGGCGTATAGTCTATAGTATAAAGTGCAATTATGTTTTGCAACTTTGTACTAACAACTGTGAACTTCACCATACCACTAATAACCGTGAATAATAATGGGATTTTTATTTACTTTTTCTTTAGGTGATAAATTCGATGACAATTGCATTTTGCTCAAAATCGCCTACCCACACAGCTGAACTCGCTGATTCAGACATCGGTGAAGTCGTATAATTTCGTTACACAAATTTGTATGGGTGGGCGCATACTATTCTTCAAATTGAAATTTCTTGAAACGAACACTAAATTTTCCAAAATCAATCGTATCACTGCCCATAGTTAATCTTAGTAATCGATAAATACCAAGATAATTACATGAAATAGGGTTAAAATGTTGAAATAACGCCATTATTCGTGCCTAGAAAACAAACCGCGAAGTCACAAGTTCGTTCACCTTTGACGAATGGTCGTTCGGTAGGTGATCGGAAATCTTCGTATTCATGTATCTTCTTAATGTGGAACTATTTTTTAAAACCGTGAACTTGACCCGTTCGAATCATCAAATAACCTGATCTTCACACCATACAAAGAATGATGTCTAAACTCTCCAAAAATATAAAGATTGATGAGGTTCCTACTCGTTTTCTACGTTTTTTATGCATTCACTTTCATCATAAACCCGATGAAAATACGGAAAAAGTAAGCATGTATTTGACAGGAAATATTTCATAAGGTAATGGAGTTCAGTTTATTTCTAATTCAGATTAATGAAAGAGCAGTTTCTTGTCTTCAATTTGACATATCGTTCATGCTAAATGATTAGCAAGAAACCATTTTGTGTAGGTGGAAACAAGTCGGTGTTTTCAAGCTCGTGTGCTCATTACGTATTCATATTGACCGCTGGGCTTGCATACGAGTACGATAAATACGGGCGGTTTTCGTGCAGCGGCGTACTGACTGAATGTATACACTTTGTTTCCTGGTTAGTAATGACATATATCAATATATCTAATTTTAAGTCTTAAATTAGATAAAAAATATGATCAGACATATATGATGTATTTGTCAATGATTGACTAAGAAAATATAAATCACAACATTGATGTGCATTGTCACATTTGCTTGACAGATCATGATAACAAAAATTCTGTGAAAATAAGCAAATTAATCATGAATATGCATAAGATACATTGAACTGTTTTTTTCAACTGGTAATTCAACTGGTATTCTACTGGTTTTTAACTGGTAAATCAACTGGTAATCATTTACTGGTTTTCAACTGGTAAATCATCTGGTAACCATCTACTGGATTTCAACTGGTAAATCAACTGGTAATCACCTACTGGTTTTCAACTGGTAAATCAACTGGTAATCATCTACTGGCTTTCAACTAGTAAAGCAACTGGTAAATCAAATGGTCTCAGATGTCAACTGGTATTTCTTCTGGTACCAGTTGAGACCAATTGAAACCAGTTGAAACCAGTTCAAACCACTAGATACCAGTTGGAACTGAATCCTTACTGGTTTCAAATGGTATAAAATGGAATTTCGACATGGGCGGGCCATTAACCTTAATAGGCTGGGTGGATTATGGCCCACCCTCCGCGATTGTTCTGATTGTACGGGAACGCATACGGATGGTGCCCCTCCGCTCGCTGACTTTTTCTTTCGAGTCTTGCGCATCTTTAAAAAAAAAAAAAAATGGTGAAAATCAGACAAAGTCACGTGACCTTTTGTCTATTTGCATGTCAGCCCGAAAATCGCTACTTTTTCATGATTCGAGTACAAAACATATGGAAATGTCTTTTTTTCCTTAAAAGAGGTGAATTTTATGACCTAATTTGCATAAATAACCATAAATATGCAATTGAGTAAATTTTTCAAAAATTTAATTTACCATAGTATTCTTTACACTGCACTTGACATGCGTGCACATTTTCGCGGCGATCGGCCGTTTCACGGCCGAGATCTTAGGGGGGAGGGGGGCATAATGCCCCCCTGGCCATATTAAGACCTCAGATTTCCCGGCCTTTTTAGGGTCAAGGCCAGCCAACTAATAAGCACACAGGACGAACATCGAATTAATAACACATGATGGCACCGACTTGACACTCACACCCAGTATTCTCACCCACAGACCCTTTCGAGATATGCGAAGTGGATTTATCTGCAGAAGATAGTTTTCCTGTATTTATTGAGTGAAATAAATCAGAATCTTGTTCTTCTCTTAATCAAGTTCTGCGAATGGCCAAGCAAAAAACTCTTATCTTCTTATACTAAAAAAAGGGAAGAAAACATACAATTTCTAATTTAATTGTTGTATATTGTGTTCATTCACTGAATTTATTTACCCAAAACTCAAAATCTTTTTCGTACATAACATAGGAGCAAAGCATTTTTTTAAGTCCAAGTTTATACAAACTGAAATATAATGATAACAAACATGTTATCATTTAATAAACGAACTTAAATACAACACAATATACTTTTCATAATATAACAATGTATCTATAGCACAATTACATTATATGAAAAAATTACTGCAGTATACAGTTATCTCATCCCCCAAACTAGAACAAGCATTGCTTATTTTTTCCAGAATAAAACTGAATATTCTTAGAATTTCGATGTTCATATATCTCAACATAAAATAATTGAAATTATGAGTTTTTCCTGTATATAAACACACAATCTGCCCCAAAC